AGAGGGGTGCTCTCCCCCTGCAGGCCGGTGTCTGTAAGGCGATGGCGCTTGCGAGGTCGGTGGTGCTTGCAGGAATCTCACCCCTTGGGGTGAAATTGGAGGTTTCAGAGCACTGCAGCTCATGTGAGGGTGGCACCAAGACAAGCTCTACAAAGAGAGGTTCTTCTGAGCCAAGTATTTTAAGTTCCTATCTGTTCACGCCGGTACATCCGCGCCTTCTCTCTCTCTCTCCTCCCTTGCTTTCTTCATTTTTGATGTCTCTTTCATGTTTTGATAAACTCATTCATTTTTGGACCAAAAAATGTACAATTAGGAGCTGTGTTTGCTTTCTTGGTTTCTAGGCCTCTTCTAAAAACTGCAAACCGTCCATATCGAAAACGAAGGGGCGCAGACTCGCACGGTTGCCTGCGACGGCGGAGTTCCTGAGTCCTAACAGTGCCTGGCCTTGCTGGAGACTCGCCCCTCCAGTGCTGAAGCACGCCGCGTTTGTCCTGGTGCCCCACTACCGATCTAAGCACTTGGCCTGTGCGAAGGGGGTGCGGAGGCCGGTGAAGGGCTAGGAGTCAGCACTTGGAGAGCGGGCGGCTCTGCGGCCTGGTGCACCCACCGCAGGGCGTGAGCCCACCCTCCACTGGCCTTGGGCAAACCCCACCTGGACCCCGGTCCACAGCTCCCCCGCTCACGTACGGTGGGTCTGTTGTCTTGAAAACCAGCCCAGTTAAATGTTCCTGTTGTTTGGCCAGCTGGCCCTTAGGTGAGCCAGTGGTCCACACACAGCGAATGTTACTCTGCGGACACACTGCAGCGCGAGGAAGGCGCGCTATTGTAATCGTAAGAAGACTTGAGGCTCTAACAAAAACAGCCAAGCAATGCTTTTGCAGCGAGAATAAGCTAACCCTTGCACAAAAAGAATGCGCACGGACCGGACCTACTGTGGGGAGCTGCCTTGGACTCACAGAGAGGCAACGGCGCATTCCCCACCCGACACTCACACTTCTGCTGGTACTCAGGGGCCCAGTGCGGCCACAGAGCATAAAGTAACTGGCCACCGGCCGAGTCCATTTGGGCTGCTACACAGACCACAGGCTGCGCCGCTTAGGCAATAAACACCTCTTTCTCCCAATGGAGAAACGAAGTCCAGGATCGGGGTGCTGGTAGACCTGGAGCGGACTTCTTCCGCCTGGCAAGGGCTTGTTTTTCTCAGTCATACAGGGTGAACAGGGAGAGAGGGAGCAAGAGCTCATGTGACTGTTCTCAGAGGGACACTGACCGTGAGATTAGCCTCATGATGTAACATCCCTCGCCCCACCCCACAGACCATTGCTCTGGGGACTGTGCCTCAGCTTGTCAATCGGGGTCAACATAAACATGAAGTCATGTCGCCATGCAGAGGGGAAGTCTGTAACTCCAACCACACCGGGTTTTCAGAAAAGACTGCTGAATGTCCTTTAAAGTGATACCAAAAATTGAACCACTGCAGAAATGTCTTACACACACACGCGCGCGCTCATACCTATATCTACATGTTGCAGATCGATCGGGGGTAGATCAGTAGCCTGTGAAAGCAGAGACTCACATGTGTGCAGCTGTTAACTGGGCGCATGTCAAAGGCAGAGCTTATGTATACGAAACACTCTCCCAAAGAAACGAGCTTTTACTACTGACCGGGACATCCGCCTTCTCCAGTCACTCTCTGCTGCTAGCAAAATGGCAGTGAGCGGCTGAGCAGCTGCAAGCTAAGCCTGGGTGGCACGTGGTGACCGGAGAGGGTGGGGCTGTACGGAAGGGTAGAGTCAGCAGCGAGGTAGGCTTCCTCCAGGAGTCATTTCTTATTTAGAGAGTTCTGCACGGTTTCATCTCTCCACATTGCTTTTTACAGAAGAATCATCTTTGTTAATGGAGACCTGCAACCTCACCTAGGAAGGCGCTGGGGGTCTTCGTGCAGGCCCAGAGGCCCTTTCTCAGCCCGGTTCCCTGGGCGGCCAGCTCACGCTACACCTTCACTAGATGTGGATGGGCCTGGCCCTCACTGTGGGCCGGCAGCCTTGCCTAACTACAAACTGTCCTTCATGTAGTGAGCACGAGAAGAAGTGGGAGTCAGTCAACCAGCAAACAACAATTTCACACAGAGATAGGTACTGTGAAGTCAAAATGCCCTCCCCTCCCCCCATGCTGAGCCTGCCCCACCCCACTCCTCCTGTCCTATGAGTGTCCCTAGCAGCCGCCTCGCCCCCACAACGCACAGACTCCCTCCAACCCCATCCACCTCTCACTCCATCCTGCCACTTTGGGGCACCTGTCTCCTCTTTCCGAATGAGATGTTAAGACCCTTTGAGGACAAGGTCAGACATATTTTCTTAACGATCTCATAATTGCACTTCCTGGTAGGTATTCAGTTTCTACTCACAGATGCCACCCTCCACAGAAGCCAGCGAGCTGGCTGAAGGACTTAACAGGGCCCCTGGCGGCAGCAGCTCTGTTACCGCACAGCCCAAGGCTTCACGGGAGTGACTGTTCTGACGTGACCACGACCTCCCACAAAGTTCCCGACATTCTCACGAGAGCCTCGTTCTTTCTTCTGTCCAGTAGCTCTCTCCCAGTGTACCACTATTTTTTTTTTTTCAACTACAATTTAGGATGCACACAGCTGCACTGCTGTTGACCTGAAAGGGAATGAGGCGGGTAGGTTGTGTAGCGCGGGTCCGGAGGTGAGCCAGGGACACCAAAGAAACCTGCGCTTCCTAGGACTCGGAACTTGCTTCCAGAGCCAGAGCCAGGGGCTGTATCAGGCGAACGGCTGTGTGGAACGGAAGGCTGCCAACGGCCCACCCCTAGCTGCTGGGCGTGAGCCACACTGACCTCGTCCGCCCTCCCCGCAGCTCCAGGCTCTCGCAGTGGAAATGCTCTTCCAGGTCGGGCAGAGGGGACACCCTGGCCTTTCACTCAAAGCACCTCCTGGCGTGACGTGAGGCCCTCTGCATGGTTGTGGCACCCGTAAGGCCTGGCACAGCCCAGAGCCGGTGGATGAGGAAACACCTCCTGTTGTTGCCAAAGCCTTGAGAACAGCGTCGCAGTGCAAGCTCACAGGGGCGTGTCAGGCTGGGCTGTGGCTTCTCAGGAGGCCGCCCTGCCCCTCCAGCCTGCAGAACCGTGCTGGCCCCCCCGATGGCTCTTCTGTCCCAGACAGAACCTTCTAGCAACCTCCTAGACTGTCCCTTCCTCCTTCTGCAAGACCGTCCCAGTCCCAGGAGACCAGGAACCCAGAGCGCACATTCGAGCCCTCCCAGAGCACGCAGTGACCTGGGCTTTATGGCCGCCAAGTTAATTTCTAAGTTACATTTAGGGGGTGAAGAGCAAAAAAGTAGCTTCCGTTTTTATTTTGCTAATGAAAAATCTCAAACAAAAAGATGCTGAGTTAGGGAATCTCAGACGGGAGAGACGTGTTGTGGGAATAAAGCCGTGGCTTTTCCTGAATTCATCAAAGAACAGAAGAGTTGAAATAGATTAGTAGGTCAGTGAACTTGCGTTCATAGAGGGCAAGGCCTGGTCTGTCATTACGGCCCGGAGCTGAAAATGAGGGATGTTCACTGAGCACCGTCTACGGGCCAGCCAGTCTTCTCGGTGTTTCTGTGCTCGTCGACTTTAATTCTCCCAGAAACTGCACACGGCAGCTCCTGCCAGATTTGCATGTTACCCAGTTTACTCTCAGGAATGAACCCCATAGTGATTTCCAGTAAATACCACCGTGCATCCGCTTGCACGGATGGGAAAACTGGGACTCGGAGAGGTTAAATGATTCGCTCCGTGTTTTACAGAAATGAATTGAGGACCTCAGCTTAGAAACCGAATGTGTATGACCTTAAAAATTACGTTATTGCCAAGGTATCCCCTGCCTTAGAATAATTAATTCCAGAGAGCCAACTATGCTATATGCCTTCCTCATTAAAAAAAAAAAAAAAAAAAAAAAAAAAAAAAAACTTGAATGATAAGACTTGAGACTTGATTCTGCGGTTTAATCCTGAGCCATCAGGATTTTTAAAAGCACTAGTTCACTGTAGGAATCTTTAAAGTGTTCATTTAAATGTATTTTACGTAATTAATTTACATAGCTAAGTCGAAGAACTTTTTCTTTTTGGGGGGAGGGGAAAGAGACCTGTTAAGTGCCAGTATATTTTATCGACCTTTCAGTCTGCCAGTAGCTTTTTGGTGCAGAACGGCTCTTGGTGGGCTGGGGGCACGGTGGGGGGTGAGACTCACACACCCTGTGTACACAGCAGGGAGAGGGGCCTGGGCACACTTACACACACAGCATCAGCATCAGAATTAAGCTCACTAGAAAAAAATGGCCTTCACCAGAAAGGAAGCAGTAAGGGGTGGCGGGCGGGTGGGAATTCCGGGTCTGCCACAGAGGGTGTTTTAATGCTGGTGCCCAGTCGCCCGGCGACCGCCACCGAATAAGCTGCAGCCGCTTCAGCAGCCATCCCCTCCCAGTGTGCTAAACACCCCTTGCGCCGTTTGCTTTACTTGATTCACCGTAAAGGGACGAGCCCTCGGGGATTCCCGGCAAATCCCAGGCCGCCGGGACAGCTCCTGTCCGCCCCCACGCCGGGGCCGCTCTCCCGCCCCGTGACAGGACCCGGCCACGCTCAGCTGCCCGCGGGCCTCGGGGCGGGACGCCTGCCGCGGAGGTCAGCTGTCTGTCGTGGAGCCCTAAGTTACTTGCTTTCTGCAACTCCCCACGGGTTGAGTTGGGCAGAGGAGAGGGAAGGAAGCAGAAAAAGACACACTTCTCACCAGAAATGAAAACCAGCAATGCTAAGGACGATTCAGAACCGGCCGTCTGGGACGGGGCGCAGAGGGGCTCGTTCCCCACTGTGCGCGTCTGCGCTCAGTTCCTTAACGTGGCCAGTGGTCTCCTCTGCCCTAACCGCGCCCCTCGCGAGTGCTGCAGCCGCAGGCAAGCTCGGGGGCAGTGCCAGGCAGGGAGGCTCCGTGGTTACCTTGCAGTTTCTGGCTGTACTCGGTCCTGTCTGACTGGCTCCTCCTCAAGGGACCGGAGCGGTCCCCCGCCACACTGCTCTCGACCACCGTGTCCGTCTTCCTCCTCTCCAGCATGTAGAGCCGGGGCCGCAGGAAGGCCAGGTTGTTTCTCTTGGCGCTCGGGGCTTCTCTCCCAGGGGCGTCCTTGGGCTCCATCGGCGTCAAGAGCAGCCGCAGGGCTGGTCACTCCGGGGCGTCAGCGTGCTGGTCCAGGTCACCAGGTGCCCAGGCGAGCTGCCCTGCCAGCGACCCGGCCCCACTCCAGGCAGCCCTGGCTGTGACTGCCACCTCTGCGGAGTCCCAGCGCTCCACCCCTATGAGGTCATTCTTTTTTATACCTAGAATCCAACAGGGGAAACTGCCACCTGTTACCTGAGAGACCTGCCTGCCGCGCCAAGCTAGGCAAAGCAGGGACCGCCTGTCACATGCTCGGAAGCAAACAAAAATCCCATTGTGCGGGGCAGGGCTGGGGGTGGGGGAAGGAAGGGAGCCAGGGGAGGCAGGAGGAGGCCGGCAGGAGGGCCACCTGCAGCCTCGGGGCCTAAGGTGTGCGCGGGGTGTGTACAGGTGCATGTGCGGGTGGCTGCGGTGGCCTCCGCGGAGGCCGCCAGGCAGGTGTGCGGCCCCAGCCGGGTCGCCTGTGACCTGGGAGCTGCTGTGGGACCGTGGGGACTTGCTTTTTTTTTAAAGATTTATTTATTTGTGCATACAGAACTGGGGTACAGGCCAGAGGCTCAGGGGCGGCGAGAGGCTTCACCGGAGACAGAGCGGGGAGCAGAACAGGCAGACAGAGGAAGCACACTGCTGAGGGGAGCAGCGGGCGGGTCAGGAGAGGTCTGCCGCGCCCTGGGGTCACCTCCGGGGCAGGCGGGGATCGAACTCATGCAGAAGCGGCTTTAGATTCTCAGTGCTGTGCTTTAACCCGCTGCGCCTCCAGGGAGGGCCGGGACTTGCTTTTGCATCACAGAAGCGTGGAATCAGCTGCAGGGGCTAAGTCAGGCTTCTACCTTACGCGTCAACATTCTGAGGCCGCTGCCTGAGAACCAAGTTGGGGAGCCCGATCTGGGCCGGGTTGGCCCTCGCCGTGGCCGCGAGGCCGCCAGGTGGAGGCCGGCTTCCGTTTCTGGCCCTCGGCCTGCTGGCCGCTCCTGCCCGTCTGGGTCCTGGGGCAGAGGAGGAAGCCCCGTGCCCAGGAGGGGTTGCCCAGAGGTCTCCCCCACCCCTTTCGTGGCCGGATGGTGTGTCCCCGGAGGCAGCTCCCCGAGAATTCCCTCAGGGCTGGGTGGGCCGGGGTCTGGACGATTCTCCCGAAGTTGTTTTCCTCCCGTCTGAGATGTCTGGGGGGAGTTCTCAGAAGCCCTGGGAATGCCCGGACTGTGGCGTGCCCTCGTTAACGAAGGGGAGCCCCCGAGGAGGATGATCGCTTCTCTTTTTGTGTAAAGGGACGGTGAAGATTCAGCTTCATGCTGCCCCTTCCGAATCGTGCTTCATAATTCAGGATAAAGAGGAAAAAGAGACAAAAAGCATTTTCCCGACTCAGGTTGTGGAGGCTGAATACAGTCTGCATAATTATCTTCAAAGAGGAATAACAAATCTCACCCACTCTAGAGACGGCTATATATAGCTTGGCCCATTGAATGGGTCTTATTTAATATAATTGGCAATCTTCCTTTCACATACCCTCCCAAGTATTTTCCATAAACGCTTTTAAAGGCACAGTCACTGCTGAGAAGTGAGCTTTTGTGATTCATGTTAAACAACACCTCAGTTGTGTTGTAGCATCACGTTCACGTGCGCACACACGTAACGCGTGTGCGTGTGCGTGTTCACCTGACAGCTAGGGGATGCCCACCGCTAGGTACAGGACAACTGCAGGATCCAGGCAGGTGCGGGCTCAGGGGCACCACCCCTGAAAATTTTGTCGGGGACCCAGAGAAGGCAGCTACACAGCTACACAAAAGGCTGGTGCGCAGGTGTGAACCTGCACCCGCACACGCACCACGGACACTGTGGGAGGCCCAGGGCCCCGGAGTAAAAAAACAGCAAAATCGGCCCGGGAGGGGGGGAGAAGGCGGCGAGGCAAACACATAAAAACGCCGGTGTAGTCTACGGGCGCCGAGTGGCTAAGGAGCAAGCACGGGCCGGCGCAATGGCTCTGTGTCCCGAAAACGAACCCTCAGCCCATGGGCCAGCGGGAGGTGCTGAAGGACGCCCCGAGGTGCGGGCGCCGCGGCTCCCAGCTCAGGCGCTGCTCCGGGGCCGCTGCTCAGTGTGACGGGCGTGTGAGCGCGGCCCCCGCCTGGCGCAGGGCATCTGGGTGCGGTCGCTGGGGGCGCAGGTCACACGTGAGCAAACTCCCTCGGGCCAGTCTTGTGGCAGCTAGTTTGCATTTTCAAAACAAGCCTCACAGCAAGCGTTCCCGTGGCGTTCAGGCGTCGCCAGCCGGGGAGAGCTGCGGCAGAGCAACCCCGGCCGCGGGGGCAGACGCACCCTCTGTCTGCTCACGGCAGTTTCTGTGTTAACTGGAAAACAGCAAACAGCGAATAAACTCTTCCACAACGCCCAGCTCGTCAGTCCGTGATGGGGGGGGACATGGCCTGCCGCGTTTTCTCCTCGCTGACTCGCTCACACCCCCACCCCCACGCCTCTCCGTGCCAAGAGAACCCTCATTTTGTCCAAGGTGGTGCCAGGCGTGGCCAACTGTAATCCTGTATTTTGTTTCCCGGCTTCCTGGTCTGTTTGGCGGCTCGGGTGACCCGGAATCCCAGGCCTGACCCCAAGGCCTGTGGAGGAATGGGTGGCGGGGTGTTGATTCTGGAAAAGGTTTTCCTCTTCCAATGAAAGGTGTGTCCGCAAATGGCTTCCATCTCGCGCCTCTTCCCAGACTCGATCCCAGGTGCGGTGACGGAGCAGCTGCCGCCACCCTGTGTCCCCGAGGAGAGCTGGGGGGTTCCCACACTGTGGGCTCTGAGGCCCGAGCTGCTCACCAGCACCACAGCCATCGCCACTTCGGCTTCTCACCACCTGGCGCAGTGACCCGTCTTCCCGTCACCGCGGGTCGGCGTTCCCGTGTCAGATACGCCTACCGGGGCTTGGTCGAGCGTTTGGTGTAGGTGTGAGTTCTCCACAGACAGGGGCAGAGTCCGGAGAACAAAAAGGTCTCTGCGTGGTGAGTGGAGGAGAGTTTCGCAGGAAAGGAAGGGATGAGGGGAGCAGCAGGCCGTGGGGGGGGGTTGGTTTATAGCTTCGGGTCTGGGACGGGCCTGGGCAGTACACGCAGTTGGTCACTAGACTGCCGGTGGTGTTTCTGAAGGAGCTCCTCTCTTCTGATGTCGATTTAACGTTTTTACTTTCTTCAAGGAGCGTAGGGATCGTAACCCAGAGAAATTTTCAAATATAAAAGAACCCGAGGGTAGTTCTTTGAGCGCTCATGTCATCAGCGCCCTCGGAAGACAGACACGGTTCCTCAGGCGCTCGGCAAGCCCGTGTGGCCAGCTGACGGAGGGACAGCGGCCTTGCAGGCGGGGCCTGGCCTTGTTCTCCGCCCAGGCCGCACGCAGTGGTGTTGAGGAGCCCCCGGGTGCGCCGCTGGTACGCCGAGGTGCTTGGCAGGGCAGCCCGCCTCGCGCCTTCTGTGAGCGGGTCCTTAGGCCGTGTGTCTGGGTCAGCAACGGCATGCCTGGTTTGAGGGGGCCGGAGCGAGCGGAGAGCAGCAGGGAGGGAGACTGAGTACTGTGTGGCGGGGTGAACGGTGGGGACGCGGGGAGCGGCAGGGACAAAGGCCACGGGTTTATTTTGTATTTTATAACCAACGTCTGCGAGTCCTTCAGAGCCAGAATTTCACATGCCATAAACAAATCAAACCTTGATACCGAGGCACTTGAACTAACTTTATTGGCGGGAGAGAACAAGCAGTTGCTGCTCCATTGTTTGCCCAAGCCCTGCGCGAGCCCCAGACTCGGCTTGACTGGACGGCGGTCAGCGTCTTGGCTCCCAAAGGCTGTGCGCTCTGTGTCCCGAGCTCCCCTGCGAAAGGCAAGATGACTAGCCACTGGGTCGCTGGCCACATGCCTTCTGCTCTCCCTTCCAGCATCTAGAATACTCCACCACCCGGCACCCCTTCCATTCGGCTACGGTCCACGCCCAAGACATGCACTCGGAGGGCTGTTGGCCTTGTGGGAGCCAAGGTGCGACTCCCGGGCTTCTCTCCCTCGTCCATGGCGGCTGGTAGCCGTCACCTCAGGACGAGGCCTGAGGCTGTCTCTCAGAGCCCCCGGCCACCCCGCGATGGTCCCCCAGTTTGAGCACGAAGGACTTCTTTACTGTAGCCGCTGAGATGACAGGCTTTTAAGAAGGGTTTCTATTACTTTATTGTGTCCAGACACTCGCTGTCAATGTCAGGTGTCGACGACATCTTTTCAGGACTAATATTATGATTTCTGGAGTTTCAGGCCCAGCCTGCCGCTAGCGGTTTGTAAGACCCCCGAGTGCGAGACAGAAATCACAGGTCCTGAAAATATCCCAGAGACCTGGACTGCGGGAAAGAGAACTCGTGAGCTAGGCGCTTCCTGGAGGCGCCCGGGCAGCCGTCCTGCCCTCGGACAGCAGCAGCGGGATGGGGTGTGGACGGCTGGGGGTGCGCCCCGTCGGGGGCTGGCGGGGCTTGGGGCGGTCTGGTTGGGCAGAGGAGTGCGGACATGCGTGTCGGCACAGGTAGCCCGCGGCTGCCTCGCACCCTCAAGATTCGCCTTGGAGACGCAGGCCGCGAGCAGGGGAGCAGGGCGAGCGCGTGGCGGTGGGGCTCGGGCGTGGCAGTGAGGGGCTCGCCTGTTCACGGGCAGGTGCAGCTGCGAGCCGCAGGGCTTGTGGGCTCTGCCTGGAAAGAGAGAGTGCGGACAGGAAAGAGGGCATTGCTCCTCAGAGACGAGGTCGTGGTGCGTCTGGGAAGTGACTGTCACACGGGCTCTGCGAGCTGCCTCTTCAGCTCTGAAGTCGCAGGGGCCCTGCTGGCCGTGGCTGGGTTCTAGAGCCTCCGCCGTGCCCCTGAAAGCAGCGATTTCTGTAAGACTGCCCACGCAGGAGCAGATAGCCACGCCAGCAGTGAACGGAGCCGGGCTCGGAGGAGGTGAAGCTGCCGAAGTTGTTACCCTTTTGAC